CTGTTTTGTCTTTAATTTGCAGTGGTTTGGAAATATTGTGACTATGGACTGGTGGGACGACCTGTGGTTGAACGAGGGCTTTGCCAGCTTTTTTGAGTATGTGGGAGTGGAAGAAGCTGAGCCTGACTGGGGAATGGTAAGCACATACCTGAATCATTCAAATATATTCCTAAATAGGCAATATCTCTCTGAAACCATTCAGTTACATTGAGGTTGGATGTCATGTTTATGCCAATTGATCTTGTGTGTTTTCAGAGGGACATCATGCTTATCAATGATGTATTTCCTGTCATGGTTGATGATGCTCTTCTCTCGTCCCATCCTATTATCGTGGATGTGTCCAGCCCTGCTGAGATCACATCTGTGTTTGATGCAATCTCATATAACAAGGTATGGTTAAGTCAGTGATGCTTAACCTAGTGTTGTTAATCTGTCAACTCTATTGGCTATGAATTGATAATTGTGATGTCATTCTATTGTAGGGCGCTTCTATTTTACGAATGCTGGAGGACTTGCTTGGCCGTGACACATTTAGGGATGGATGTCGAGTAAGACGCCTTGCTTTTTACATATATTTTCCAATGACTCCAAAGTTAACGTGTGATGCTGGGAAAATAAGACCCCTTTCTTTTTTTTTCACCACAGCGATATCTAAAAAACTACCCATTCCAGAATGCAAAGACTGCAGACTTTTGGAAAGCCTTGGCTGATGTAAATATCTTTTATTGACCGTACATTAGCATTTTAATGTTTTGTCCAATTTGATCAATAATGTATTAACCACTTCCTTGCTGAATAAAAGTATTAATTCCTTTTTATTAATTTCTGTAAATAATCATATTACCCCAAACTCTTAAACAATAGTGTATCACGGTTTACAAAAATATTTTACAATATTCCTCTTTTTACTGTAATGTAATCAAATAAATGTAGCCTTTGTGAGCACAAGAGTCTTCTTTCAAAACATTTTTCAAAAATCTTAAATATTCTGAACTTTGACTGGCAATATACATCTCTCTTGGGTCATAGGAGAGTGGAGTACCTGTGGCAGACATCATGGACACATGGACCAAGCAGATGGGTTATCCTATGCTGACTCTGACCAACACAGACACTGAAGCTAAACTCACCCAGACCAGGTTTCTCCTGGACCCCAGTGCTAACCCCAGCCAGCCCAGCACTCCCCTGGGGTGAGCCTGATTGTGCCACGCAATGATAATGTCAATGGCATCAAACACCAAAATTCAGTCATTTTACCATGAACCAAATAGGCCCAACATTTTGCAAAAAAAAAAAAAAATTACATAAATGACATGCACACATTAGGAAAATGCATATATTGTATTAGCCATACTGAATTTGCACCAAAATACTGTTTAATCAAATGCACAGCCTTTGACATCAAGAACGAAACATATGAAAAGTGCTTTTGTACTCCTTTTTAAAAGTAGATAAGTAGATTATGGTTGGTTTATCCTTACTGTCTGCAATCAGAACAGATCTGAAACCCATCTTTCAGTCACTGCCCACCAGTTGAAAAGCACTGCTCTGGTATCCTTTAACTAACCCTAAGCTCTACAACATGAGCACAAATAGTAATTCCCCTGATTATTCTTCACAGGAAGGAACACAGATAATGAACTGAACTCTGAACTCTGATTCTTATTTAGTTCACTCAGATGTTTTAACTCTTGTCCCACAGCTACAAATGGACCATTCCTGTGAAATGGAGCACACTTGACTCCAAAAATGCCTCTTTCCAGTTTGACAAGGGAGAAACAGGTGAACAAGATGCTCAGATTTAAAAAAATTTTTTTTTTAGTATTGAGGAATAGGTTGTTTTACTGTTCTGCTGTGTAATTTCTGCCATTGGCCTGTGTTTAATTAGAGGTAGTAATTGCTGGATACTCCCCTGCTACCGATGGTCTCATCAAAGTCAACAAAGACCACATGGGCTTTTACCGAGTAAATCACCATGACCATGTGTGGAGCGCTATTGCCGAGCAACTCTCTGTAAATTATCAGGTATTATTATTCATATTCATTTCTCTGTCAGAACTAAGTAACAGAACTGTAGCTACAAAAAAAGAAAAGAATCCTATAATGTATGGAGTGAGGTTTACCTTGCACAGCACCTACTCGCTGGCCTCCGTTACATATATCACTCCTACTGATAATCTATTATCTATTAATATTATCTATCTATTAATTATTTTATAATCTTACCTGTAATGCAGAGCCAGAGCCTCCGTACTGTTTGCTTCCATTGAAATCACTGTTGAATCGTTGAATCACCTTTCTCGCTTTATGCTGACGCTGCATGCATTCCGCTGTGAAAAACAGATATAAAGATACAGATGCAATATATTAAAATATATACTGAAACGTTATAGAATTGTATATGGGGTTGTGCTAATTACGTTTGGGGTTTGAATTAAATGACAGTTACCACGGACGACAGAGTGATATCGAGATTGACCAATCAGGAATAAATATTTGATCCAAAAAAAAAAAAAAAAGGAGAGAGAGAGATTGACCAATCAGGATCAAGTATTGCAAAGAGCTGTGTAATAAAACATAATAACCCACATAATGCTTATCTTTTTCAGGTGTATAATGCAACTGACCGAAGCAGCTACATTGATGATGTATTTGCATTTGGACGGTGAGTTAGTACAAACATCTTCCAGCTGCAGAAAGCTTATGCTTTCAATCTTGACTTGATGACAGGCAAAAAAAGTAAATTTTAACTTATTTTTCATAGCACAGCTTTTTATGGTTATAGTGGAGGACATAAAGTAAGGATGATGACGTCATGCTTAAAGTGCTGCCTTTTGTTTTGTATTAACAGGGCAGATATTGTCGATTATGGACATGCCTTCAACTTAACAAGATATCTGGCCAATGAAACTGAGTATATTGTGTGGGATAGAGTATCTACTTCTATCTCCTATGTGAGAGACATGTTGGCTGATGATACAGCGCTGTACTCCAAATTCCAGGTTGGATCCCAAAGTATTCATTATACCTTAATGCAAGAAAATAATCAATTTTATAAAAAATAATGTACTATGTTAAATGTGAGATTTATAGCTGATATTCTTTATATAAATGTTAGCCAGAAGTTCCCATTTTATATTTTTTGTTACTGAAATGGTCTGTTTCACGTCATCTCTGTTTAGAAACTCTTCAGTGACCATGTGCAGAAGATATCCAAAGAGCTTGGGTGGAATGATGAGGGGACGCAAACACAGCGGTGAGAAAATGTTTTTTGGCAGAAATAACTAGAAAAGCTTTTCTATAGCAGGCCAAGGATACATTCTTGAATTTATCATTCTTGTAAACCAGATACCTCGGTTTTAAAATGTTGCATATATATATATAAATATATATATATATACACACACACATGTGCTGAATAGTTTGCACGTGTGTCCCCACTAAAAATTCTTCTATTTTGGATTCTCTATTAATTTAATTAAAAAAATCATAACAATTTGATAAAAAGGTTAAATGAAAAACTTGAATATTGTAGTATTTTTATTATTGTTGTTTTTTCATGTACAGGCTGCTGAGAGAGACAGTTTTGGGCATTGCATGTCAGATGGGTGACCAGGAAGCTCTCGACCAAGCCTATGACATTTTCAGTAAATGGATCGATGGAACAATTAGGTAATTACATTCATACATAAATACCTCCAGTGGTCCAATCAGAATGTGTGTATTAAAGAGGCTCTTTATCTGATTGGGGAGCAGCAGTGTGGCTGTCAATTTACGGTTGCTGGTGTACCGATATGGAATGAAGAAGTCAGCATCAGTCCAGAGCTGGGAAATCATGTTTCGCAAGTATGTCTCTGCCACTCTTGCCCAGGAGAAAGACAAGCTGCTCTACGGCCTGGCTTCAGTAGAAGATATCACTCTCCTTCATGGGTAAACTCCGTCTTCCCAGAGCAGAGTTGTCGGATTGAAATGACAGTTCACCAATCAACAAAATGGATAAAACCAAGTTTCCACATTCTTCTTTTTTTTCTGCATGATATACAGTATATATATATATTATTTTTTTTGGTAATTCATTATTCTCAGATATACAGCACAATACAAAAGAAAAGACTCGTCTATAGATACTGCTTCAGATGCTCTCGCTAACAAGAACACTTGACTAACTAATAGCCTAATCATGTATAAAAATACAAATGAAAAATCATTCATTTCTGCTCCTCATTTGAAATTTAGCATGCTTACACTACTATTTGTAGTTGCTTTGGATAAAAGGGTCTTCTAAATGAATAAACCTCTTTGTAGAAGTAAACTAGCACTCAATTATTAATTCATTTATTCAAATGTCTTGCTTTTGTAACAGGTTGCTTGAAGCTGCTAAAAATGAAAGCATTGTGAGGAGTCAAGATGTTTTTACTTTAGTGCAGTATGTATCTCGAAACCCACTTGGCAAAACCATGGCCTGGGACTGGGTCACGCTCAACTGGGATTACCTAGTGAACAGGTTAGTTCATCTAACAGTTGAAAGAAAATCAGCCTTCCCTTTGAGAATAACAGTGGTATATATGATGTCATGTCTGTTTTAGATATACCATTAATGACAGAAACTTGGGCCGCCTGCCCTCCATAATTACTAGTACATACAACACTGATATGCAGCTGTGGAAGGTGAGAAACAAAGGCTGTGTTCGGAACTTACTACTTGCTTTTGCCTTTATAATATGCTTTTGTGTGCAATGTTTTAACTTTAACATATGTTGGTCTCTTTTTAGATGGAGCACTTTTTTGCACTTCATCCGAATGCAGGAGCAGGTGAGATGCCCAGAAAGCAGGCAATAGAGACTGTGAAGAACAACATTGAATGGATGAAACGGAACCTGGATGAGATCCGTGTCTGGCTGGATAACAATGTGGTGCTGGAGAACTAGTGCTGTAATGGGCCAGCATCAGAACAATTTTTCCACCCCCACTAAATTTGTTTTCACAAGTCAATGAATTGCTCAGGGCAGCTTGAAAAAAATCATTTTTAGTTAAGAGCCACAATCAAAAACACTCTCATTACAAAATAGTCTTGAATTCTGTTGGCATGACAGTTAAAGTAACAAATATTCTCTTTGGAACTAGGCATTACACATTTTTAGGCACTGTACATTCTTTATTGAATGTGTTGATTATACATTATAGTAATTATTTGTAAAATGTGTAAATGTGAAATAAATGTCTTAAAGGATGCTTACATTCTTCACGTGTTATGACACATTTTTCAGGTACTTCAATAAAAGAATGTTCTCAAAATATTGTTGTTGTTTTTTCGTAAAAGACTAAGGGCTGGAATACACCACATAACTGCATTTGCACAGATTTTTGCCTCAATTTGGACAAGTTTTGAAAGTCAGTTTGCATATTTTGAGCAGTCAGAAATGACAGATTTCACTAAATATTATGTAGTATATGACAGGCACAGTTTTTTTAGCTTCAGACTTAGATTCCGTTCACTCAGAAGATGTCAAACGTGTTGACATGACGATATTTTCATTTATCATGATGTTTTTGCAGGAGTTTGCTGTTTGTAATTTATTGTATGATGCCCAGTTTTTCTCTGTAACCATTTACAAAGCCTGTTCTGATTTAAAAAGTCATGTAGTGTCTTCCAGCCTTTTTATAAACTATAGACATCTTAAAGATAAATCACAGTGGAATTGTTTTTATTCAAATGAAAACATTTGACGTAAATACAGTATCAACAACATTAATTTCACAGGATTTGCAGTAGACTGATAACAGTGTAACAAGCATCAGACTAAATACTATCAGACTATACTGAATAGCAAGGTCAAAGGAAGTCAATGTCAGTTGAAGGAAGGACATTCATGGTATAAGGACACTTTGTATTTGTATGAAACCTCAAAGTAATTGAGGCCTAGCAGTGTTTAAACATTGGAGCAGACAGAAAGCGTCCAGTGCTGTTTTATGAATGTTTAAATATCTGATCGTCTCATCATTTAGGGGTTGAGTGGTGCAGATGATGCCGTCATTGGAAGTTGGTTGCTAATAGTGATTCTCTGTTTTTTTTTTTTTTTTTTTTAAACTTTTTTCTTTACTTATTTTTCAAGTTTAAGTTTATATTTTTACACATAATTTTTATATTTTATTTTATTTCAGCTTTATTTCAATTAACTGTCTAGGTCATATTTATAAATAAAATAAAATAAAATAAAATAAAATAAAATAATACTGCTGGTACTACCTTGGTAACGCCCATCTGATCTGACCAATCCATGTTGATGCTGTCTAGGCAGTTACTGGCTTTGTATCTCTTCACAGTAACTGAGACGTTGTAGTAGCAGTAGAACATGACCGCTAGAGGAATGATGAAGTTGACAGTGATCACAGTCATTGTGTAGGACACAAAAGATCTGAAATCAAACAGGATTAGTCCCACTTGTAATCCCCACTCCACTTTTAAAATTCACAATCTCTGAAGAAAAGCTTTACAGAGTGGTAAAACTGATAAGAGAGTGGTAAACTAATAAAAAGAGTCTGTAGAGCCTGTACCGGCATTCTTGACTCACGTGTCATTGTTCCTCCAGTTGATGGTGCAGGTGGCTCCTGTGGGGTCGGGAGCACATCCTGCCCAACCAACCATGGGCATAGATGACCAAAACACAGCATTCAGCCAAGCAGCCACAATTACAAGCGTGTATGATACTGTTGTCAGCTTCTGTCCTGTAACAAACACTCATTAATAGATTGCCTAATGCATTTGGCCCCTGTCTTTGAGTAAAGAATTAAACACAAATGACAGTCCTTAGTGCTTCATATTTCAATCAGGTAGTTGTATGGATAGCATACCTATGTCAGGTCGACATATGGTAAGGTATCGGTCAATGGCAACCACAGTGAGCAGTCCAATACTAGTCATTCCGAAGAATATATTCAAGGCAGCATAGATCTATAAAAGAGGCAACAAGTTCTGTTGTTGTTTACATGTACAAAAGTAGCAGACCTAGGCAAAAAATAACAAAATTGTAATAAAATAATACTTTTAATGAAAATGTGTCCCAAATATATTTAATATCTAGCACTGTTAGTGGTATCTTTTGTCATTTCTTAGAAAAAAAGGGAAACATATTTAAAAACAAAAGAAAAAACAACAACTTACCTTGTAGTATTTAGGCCTAAATACACTTTACATAACACCAGATGACACTGGAGTAAATATTACAGTTATACATTTTGTAGAAAATGGAAAAACGTTTTTCAAAACCATAAAAAAGTGAGTGCAAAAAATAAATTTCTAAGAACTAAGAATGTGTTTTTTGACCAATCTTACTCATCATTGACACCCCAAAAATGCACTTTAGCTATGACTATATTCACAATATTGCTTAATTATACAATCAGAATGACTTTGTGTTTATTTATGTGTTGGTTTATGCACACCTGGCAGCCTGTGTAACCAAATTTCCAGCTCCCGTGCAAGTCTGAGGCTGCCGACATGGGGTAACCAATACCGGCTACGCCAATGTCAGTGAAAGCCAGATTGATAATGATAGCATTCGTGGCAGTACGCAGCATCATTTAGGGGTTGAGTGGTGCAGATGATGCCGTCATTGGAAGTTGGTTGCTAATAGTGATTCTCTGTCGTGTTTGACATCGTAACATACCCATGATGGCTCTCCTGAACCTGCAGTCAACAAATACAACTTATTAGTAAAAAAAGAAAAGGAAACAAAGTGGCGTATCACAACAAAAATGGGACAAGGCCTTACTTCTTGTTGGCGATGATATAGATGCAAGGATTGTAAAAGGTGGAGGACTTGGCAAAGAGTGGGGCAATTATGGCCATTGGAGCTGGAATCTTTTTGGGGTCACCAAATGATGCCCACAAACACACAATTGAATATGGAGACCAGGCAGCCAGGAACATCACTATCATTATAATGGACATCTGTAAAAAATAAAGGAGCAGTCAGGTCAAACTGAACCAGAGAGCACACAAAACCTGTCAAGCAGTGTTATTTTAGTAATATATTATTTTATCTCTCTGAACTTCACAAACATCAGCAGCACCACAATGTTACTAGACAGACTGACCACTCCTGCCACCAGAGAGAGAGACACAGACAGGGAGAACAGGAGGTTAAGACATCTGTGAACACACACACACAGACGTTTTCTCATACATATTTCACCACGTCCATTTAAAACATTTCCCGTTTTCAGTTTTCCATTTTACACACACACCCCCTGCTGGTTACCTCACACGCTTGGCTAATTCTGTAAATGTCAACTTCAAGGAATGCTTAAAAACATTGTGCTGAATCTAGGCCTCAAAGACATTTCTCTTTTTAGATGCCAACTCAAAAACTTGGTAATTATTCAATTAGTCAAAAAGTGTCAATACATTTATAGCTAACTGCTAACATCAAAAACACTAAGTACACACACATACACACACACTATGCTCTTTACCTGCAGTTATGAGGTATGCAGCAACAATATTGTGTTCAGTTTGTGTGAAGGCGCTCTTTTCACCATATACGGTCTCAGCAGAAGCGTTCAGGAATCCAGATGCCATCTCTTTGTCACACATAATCATATATATACATTCACATCTGTTCAGACAAAATCATGGGGCTTGAAAGAATCTGAAGTCCAGACTCCCCCTCTTCAGATCATAAAACTGTGTGTGCGTGCTTAGGGGATGTAGAAGGTTACGGGGTGGTTGTGGGAATGAAGGGCTGGAAAAGCATTGGCCTGGATTATGTTCTCTAATTATGTTTTCTGCTTGGTTTGTGAGGACTGAAGGAACTGTTGTTTCTGTACTAATCCTCACATGAAAGCTTTTCATTCCATGCAACAGAAAAGCTTTCTTGGAGCGTGGAGTGTATGCCTTTAACATAGCCTATTTCAGTTTTTGAAACAAGAAAAGTGCAATAATATATTGATAAGCAAAATTCAGCAGTCCAAACGTTTAGCTGATGAGCATCTAAAAAGTTTGAGACCCCAGGAACCAGAATTGTGTGTAATACAGATAAATGAAACACTTCCTACAGCATTTTTGTTATTTCAAGAATGTCAAGTTTGGATTAAACAGCTTGTTTAATATAAAGTGGAGCTTGTTACTTTGAGTGACCTATTAATAAGTAAATTTAGCTTATTTGTAACAGACTAAAACAGAGAAAAATATGATGATCAGTTTTAAAACACAGCTAAAAGTAAAGGTTCCAAAAGGGGATTTTGCAGCAATGCCATGGAATAACCTTTTTTGGTTTCCCCAAAGAATATTTCAGTGAAAAGTTCTCAAAAGAACCATTTTTTTCCTTAGTGTGAGGAACATCTTTGCACTACGAAGAATCTTGTGCAATGGAAAGGTCATCAGTGGAGACACCGATGTCAATAAAGTAATATTTTTTACCAAACATTCCATAATGCGGTGCACAAGGGATACCAGATTGTTAGACCTGTGACAACTTAGTGATCGGTTTATTTTGAGCTATTTAAACAACATTCTTTACTAAGAACACCGTGATGCAAGATATTTAAAAAACTTTTCAGAGAATCTAATTTTATTCATTTTGAAATAAAATTCAAAGCTAATGGCCAAATAAACAAAACTGACTAAGGAATAAGGAAAGAAAAAGCTAAGATAACACTACGTACATAGGCTACATAAAGTGCTTTTTTAACTTTTTCTTACTTTTACTTTTTTACTTTTAGTCAAGCAAAGCGCACGACACTGACAAGGTACGCGATACAGTACGAGACCAAACGCCATTTCAGCACGTCTCCACAGTTTTCTTTAATTATAATCTACATATTATTATTATAAACACGATATATAAAGGCCTGAAGATAAACTCACTTTACTAATCTACAAACATCAAAACCTCAAATACCTTCATTGACATAAACAGCAACTCCAACATTAACCACTAGATGGCCTTGTTTGCACGGACTCTCCTTGGACGTGACGTTTGAACGGATATTACGTACCCGGAAAGGCTTGTGTTTTGTGTCATGTGATGATCGCACATAAACAAGTGAGGAACTTTTTATAAAACCGGGTTAAATTGAAGGTAATTTTGCGTATTATGATTTTAACAAACGTTTCCTCCATTTATAACAATTTACTAGATTAGAGGTGTTAGTAGTTAGTAAGACGTTACTGTCAAACGAGACAATGAGATGCATTTCAATGCATTTTCAACGAGATGTCATTTCGTGTAATTTCCTCGTCGTTCTTTACTCTTTTTGCTACAGGGTGCAGCAGGCGATCTACATAGTCAATCTAATGAATATGGCAGATGTGAGTATATTTGTAATGCATTTGCTTACGTTTTCTTGGATGCGTTCTTAATGCGTTTGATTTAATTATTACAGAATCTGAGGAGTTATTTGTATAAACAACTGCCAAGGTAAAAAGATTTGTCTTGTATTTTGCACAAGTTTTCTTCATTTTGCATTCGGAGTAATAACTGATCATTTCTCTTCATCATCATCAGTGTTGAAGGACTCCATGCAATAGTAGTGACGGATAGAGATGGAGTCCCTGTAATCAAAGGTAACAGCATCACCTCTGACTTCCAGGTCTGTTTATATATCTGTTGAAGCATTATCTGAGATTTTGCTTGTTTTCCCTTTTAGTTGCCAATGACAATGCTCCTGAATATGCATTGCGGCCAGCGTTCCTGTCCACCTTTGCTTTGGCAACTGACCAGGGCAGCAAGCTGGGCTTGTCCAAAAATAAAAGCATAATTTGTTACTACAACACATACCAGGTACTTTCTTTACACAAATCAAAGTACATTTGACTTACTGCTTGTTAAGGTTTCTAGATTTCTGGTTTTAATATGTCCCGTTATGTATTTCCTTGACAGATTGTACAATTTAATCGATTACCCTTAGTCATAAGTTTTATCGCAAGTAGTAATGCTAACACAGGTGAGTCTCCACAGGTAGTATAAAAATTGTATGTTCATTATAATAACAACTGAATGATCAATATTTTTTTCATATTTAGGTTTGATCTTTAGTCTTGAGAAGGAACTAGTTCCTCTGATTGAAGAACTAAGGCAGGTGGTGGAAGTAGCTTAGCAGTTATTCATCTCAGCACCTTCAGACATTTGGATGAGGATAAGAGAGTCGGATGTCTTGATGCCTCTATGTGTTCTAGTTCATACACACACATATGTACATACATAATGTTGGATGGTCTTGATGCTGTATGTCTTTTATGAATGTAACCTGCTTTGGTTTACAAAAATAAATTTTATTTATTGACTTTTTTAATACATTTTTACAAAAGGGGCATCTTGGTTTGAAAATGGGTTTTATGTACATGTTTCTAAACAACACGAGTGTTCACTATTAGTTAACACATCACAGTAGCATTGCTACTTAGATAATTTATAATTTTATTATAAATTTACTTTGGTGATCTATAGAGTGCTGCAGGGATTAAGTATTTTTGTAGCCTAAAACCCAGTAACAAGTTAGCATTTTAGCACTTTCAGTTCCATCATCCTGAAGTCAGCGGGGTTTTTGAGTGGGCTTTTGGTTAAAAGCCTGAAATAAGGTTTGTGGTTAGTTTTAGTTTTTTAGTTTTTTTTTTCCTCTATGAAATGTGCTATACAAATAAACTTGCCTTGCCTTGCCTAATCACTAGTCTGCATTCACAGCCTCATTATGTAGTATATAATTCCACTCCTGTGAGATATTCTAACTCTAACTTTCAGGGAAAATATTTTTTATTAGTAGTGGTGATGTTTGTTTATATCCTACATTTGGCTTTTTATTTCCAGTTATTATATTTAAGCTTTAAAATTCATACATTGTGTTTATTTATTAAGCTTATGATGAGGAACAAATCCAAAAGCTAATGGAAAATTCCTGTTGGGTTTTTGGCGAGAGAACCAGGGTGATTCTAGCTTCCAGGTTGGCATACAAAAATATGTAATTACAGCAGCTCTCTATTCTGGAAAAAGCTTATTGCATCCAAAGGATTCAACAAACAAAATTGCAAACATGTATATAAGGGGGAATGTACATATGTTTAAAAGCAGACACACTGTTTAACTTGGGGTTGGAGAAGAATGAGAAGAACTGAAAGCTCAACACAGAACACATTATGGGAAAAAAACCAAAAACAAACTGTTGTCAATTATAATCTCAACACTGGTAGTGCACCGCCTCCAGATACCTTTATAAAGCACAATAGCATGGTGCCTTGGGACTGTGCTTCTCTTCGATGTAAAAACTTGTGTTATTCATTGCGCAAAAGATATTTTAGGTGTGATCAGTTGTACAACCATGATGCCAAGAACACAGAGCATCAGATGCAGTTAATGAATCCTCTGTATTTACTAATATATAACTGCACACAGTTTGCATTTGCTCAGCTAATACTTCTCTCCATGTTGAACATCATCGTCCTTTCTTTATCTGTGACTGGAAATACAGGGTAGTCATCATTAGAGATAAGGACAACAGACAGACAAATATATCTGCAGTATGATTAGACTGGTAAAGTGGGGTCAGATTAATTTATTTCCACAGGAACAAATAAATAATACATTCTATTTGACTTGTTAACTATTACATACATTGATTATTCATAGTGACTGTCCTTTCATGGTTAACTTTGGTTCCTCTTACCAGTTTCCATCGTAGTATTTTAATCCATTCATCTGCCTCAGCACCAGATTTTGCACACAAATAAAACGTCCTCTCGGGGAACACCAGGCTATAGGGGAAAAAAAAAAAAAATCTTAAAGGTTTCTGTTACACCAAATACACAAAATAATGATCTTTAAAAAAGCATCATATGACCCCTTTAATAATGAGATTTATTTTGAAGTAAAAGGCTGAAGCATGGGTTGGAAAATATGTGGGTAGGAGGAAGTCCATGTATAGGAGTTTCTGACTACACTTCCTCATTACTGAGAATCACTTACACGTAGGAAAATATCAGATACACATTAAGATATTAACAACAGAATATTAGGATTTTGATATAAAATTGTAATTACTTCTTATTACTTCTTAGTTTACTTTGTACACAGACAATGTGAATTTTGATTCATGCTTTGCAGATTGTACTGCTGATTTAGTGTGCACAGGAACTGTAAGCGCTCAGACACTTGAATGCTGCAGATATACCAGCTCATTCTCAGTTGCCAAAAATAGCCAATAATTTTATGGTTGGCCAATTGCAGAAGTTTCAGATGTAAAAACAACAGGATAACTAGTCTAGCACAATAGTAAAGCGTCTTACTTTTATAACTTTGCTTTTGTAATTGAATGAAACATTTGAAGGCATCTCTATTATGAGTAATATTTTTAACTACCACTCTTGTCATTAAAAAAAAAATGCCTTTCAGAAATTAACTGGCCTTGTTGATGACATTTCTGAAGTTGAACTACAGCAGTAAACCAGGGTTATTATCGTTAACTAAAAATAAAACCATAAAAAATACAAATGTACAAAATATAAATGTAAACTTTTAGTTTAAGTCTAAGTACTAAAATAACAACAACAAAAAAACGTGATAAAAAACAATATAGACATTTTAAAGAACTAATAAAATGAATTACAAAAGCAACAAAATTACTCAAACTTAAAATATAAGAACAAATTTAATAAAATATAAAAATCTAATTCAAAATATGAACAAAAACTACAACTGTATATCAATGATACTAAAATATCTCTGCAGCCAACAGGATAAAGGTTTGTAACTGTAATTACAGTTTCAATTTAAGGAAGTTGATATTCTCAAATTGTGAATTTTGCCAAAGAAAAAAGAAAAAGAAAAGAAAAACGTGCATAATGTAGGTTTCATGAATTACGACCATATTATAAATCTCTCACCAGAAGCAGTTAACCCTCTCCTGACTGTAATCAAACTGCACAGCAGAGCACTCTGTCAGATCCAGGGTTCGTATTGGCTCTACAAACTGAGGAGACAGTTTTCTGTGAGATAAACAATCAACTTTAACTCTTATATGATTATACATCTCATTGTACAAAATACACAGACCTACCATTTTATCTTTAAAATATTTAAGTTCATATCTATTCAGTGTGAACCATCTCTGCTTCCAGTTCTGCCCAGAAAATAAATAAAGATGAAACCATCAGCCAACAAAACTAGGTCTAGGTTTGCTCTAGAACCAGTTTAACCCAGTTACAATTTACCTTATTAGCTTGGAACTGACATTTACTGCAAACACTGGTTGAATTTTTTTAATTAGTCTATATTGATATAGTAACCTATGCAACCATACCTTGATGATCGCTCCTTGTTTAACCAGATAACCTTCTTTAGTGCCAAGCTGTTGACAACATAAAAAGACTTTCAACTTTACTCTTTCAAATATGTGTGTATGTAGGTCTGTATTATGTCACTTGGACTTACTGCTGGAGCATTAGGCACCAGGTCGTTTTCATGCCGGCCTGTCTGCATGGCCGTATGCACACACACCGTCTCATAAATGGATGGTTCTTCCACCTGCCGTGGGTATGGGAACCGTAGCACTATCAGGCTTCCTTGGTTACAAGAGTGAAACAGGAAACAGGGTCATTGTGCCAGAGAAGTGCTGAAAAGCAGTTTGTGAACTGTAAATATAGCTAACCTGTCTCGCTGCCTAGCAGCGGCTGATTGGCAAAGTGACTGCAAAAATCCTGAAGGGAAGGAAATTCATTGAAGCCAAAGGAATATTTGCCAAACTGCCGCCGGACATGAAAGTGTTTCACCGAATCCTTTGCTCTGAAGAAGTTTGGAGATGAAAAAGCAGTGAGGAAGTGTTGTCTTGCTGTGTCTGAACTCTCATTATTGTTCATTGTTAACTTGTTTATAGAACTGGTGTATAAAAGCGATACCACACCTAGTTGTATTGAAATAGGCAGTTAATTATTTCTACAAAGTCACACACTATAAATGAGGTGCCAAACAACCAGGCATTTAAGCATCAGTCAGAGTCACAGTGACCAGGCAGGTTACTGCCTCATGGCTTGTGTGAATCAGATTCTATATATTTCAGTAGGAGTCAGAATAAGTAGCTTTACTTTAAAGACACAAGACAAAGTGAGGTTTACAGCTGATACATTGAAAAGGGGAACTGAAAAACCAAGTAATCTAAATAACCACAGAAAATAAGAGAAATGGAAAAATAAGAGGACTAACAAAAACCATATTGGTTCATCCTTTGACTTTTTAACTTGCTTGCTTAATAAAAGGTAAGAGGAAAACTCATTTTAGAAATGTCGAGTGCCTATATTGCTGCAAATAACTTAAGGTCAGATAAGTTCACTTAGGGTATTAAATATGTTCCGCTTCGCGTCGGGTGGTTCTTTGCCTCCACGTAGTGCATTTAAAATCTTTTAACGCACGGCTAGCCGTTGATTATCCCTTACATATACTGTATATATACACTACCATTCAAATGTTTGGGGTTAGTAAGAAATTAATATTTTATTCAGCAAGGATGCAATAAATTGATCAAAAGTGACACCAAAGATATAATGTTTAAAACATTTCTATTTTAAATAGATGCTGTTCTTTTAAACTTTATATTCACCAAAGTATCCCGAAAAACGTGTGTACAAAAATATAAAGCAGCGCAACTATTTTCAACATTGACAACAATACGAAATGTTTATTGAGCAGCAAATCAGCATATTAGCATGATTTCTGAAGGATCATGTGACACTGAAGACTGAAGTTATGATGCTGAAAATTCAGCTTCGCTATCACATGAATGAATTACATTATAAAATGTTTTTAAATAGAAAACTGTTTAAGAAAAGAGACAGGCCTACCTGCAAAGTGCTATAAGAAGTTTTAAATTAGTAAGGATATTTTTAATTAACTAAGTCTACCATGTCTTTACTTATTACATGTCTTTACATTAACTTATTACAGTGTCTATTGTCCTAGGCACACTTGCACTTTTGGGGTGAAATATAACCCTGACATATTGCTATCACAATTTGTAATGATAGCATTTGCTGGTACATTTCTCCATAAATTGAATGGAGTGCACACAAGGAAAATATTCAAGACTATTTGTGTCTGAGCATACTGCACTTTAATATCAAAGTGATTCAGCTGAGTGGACCACAAATTACTTATACACTTTTGTCCAAAGTGGACATTTCTTACCGGACAGACAAAGCAAAGCAGTCAGGTCCTTTGTTGCTGTTTCTGAGTAAAAAATTCCCATCCACCCCATTCGAAAGGAGAAGAGCTTCGGCTGCATGCCGGGACAAATCATAATGA